CGAACCCTTACATTCCAGAGCGGGACCATCCCAACCGCTTTATGATGCATTCAAGATCATCACTTCCGGATTCGCCATATCGCAGATGCGGCAGAGTCTTTTCGTCCTGCTCCTTTTTAGGGGTCCATCCAGCCACGTAAGGGGAAGCCGGACCCGTGAGATGCTCCATAATACAGCCGTTTGCCTGATCGACAGCAGGGTAACTACCGCATACAGTCCAGTGACCCGACCGGTAAACCTGACTTAACCCAAGGCCACTCAAGCCCTCAGCCTCCAATATGTCCCTCTTGACCCCGCAGACTCCCACTAGGCAAATAAGTCTCTGAAGACCTTTGAACGTCAGAAATTCAGAACGCGCGATAGTTTGTGAGCGCTTGTCATACGGATGCAGCGACTGCATACCGATATTATGATAAGCCATTGCTCTGCTTGCTCTATCACGTTACGCACAGAGCAGCCCCATCACTAGATACAAGTACAGTACGGTACTCAGGCTCGTACCCTGACCCCTCTCTTTAGGACTCCGATAACGATGCTAAAAACCAGCCCTCCCTTCAATCGCTTCCATACCCCCTCTAAATTCTCTTATGCTCCAAGGCCCCGACCGAAAGAATGGCGGTAGCAGAAACGAGTAAAATTTCCGAGACTATCGAGGCAGTGATAACTACCCGTACTCGAGATGACACCAAGCAATCGATCTGGAGTCCGCACGGAGCATTGAAGGCCGTGTTGGCTAGAGAACGGTCCAACCGAACACCGACTTCCGACACCGAAAGCGATATTTAGTGCCCTGGGTTGGGGTCATTCAAGGTGCCGGTAGGCTACTGCTACTCGAGCACTGGAGTGCTCTACGGTATCCTTCCTGTGGATACCGGTATAATTACGAGGACAGGATTTGGAGAGGTGAAGTCATCGGATGGGGGGAGCGAGGCAATCGGGGATGGCAAGATTAAGCGAGAAATAAGATGCGGCTCTGCTGCCTCAGGGCATGAGACACTGGAATGAGCCCACCAGCACCAGATTGATATTGTCCAGCAATATTTTCGCAGGGCTATAAATAAATGAGTCCTACCGAATACTCGAGTACTGGTACAATGCCTTCCAGAATCCGAGTGACATTTAGTGGAGGCTAAGAATCGAACTACGAACACAATTGTAGTCATACAGAACCTTCTGCCGCCCAGTGCTTTGGACTCGAGTGCCGGTAACGGTCGGTATCTTATCGGCAGGAATGCAGGGAAGCGACCCTTGCCGAAATGAACACTTCAGGGTCAGTCCCACCGCTCAGTCCTGGATCGCGAGCACATTCCTCACATGCTTTCAGAATTGTAAACCTCCGCCCTGAGTACCTGTGCTCATACATCATCATCATCTTGCGGGATTTGGTTCAAATGTCACAAGCACGTCTCTACTAAAAGCACAACGCCAAACCGAAACCATCTACCGTACGTTCATTTTCCCCATTGAAACACCCCTGTAGATCTGAAACCGAGCCAAGGCGTGAACTTCCCCCCTCGAATCTACCACGACCTCCTTTCTTGCAAAGCCCTTCAACCGAGCACATACTGGTATTTCATCCTCGTACTTGCCGTCACTCAATCAGTCCAGCAACCCCATACTCATTGCCGCGAACCCCTCGAGTACACGCGCGAACACCAGTCAAAGGCTCCAGATATCGTTGATCGACCCCATCACGAAACGAAAATGCTGGCAAACATTCCTCAGCTCGCGGTCATTCTTGCCTGTCTTTTAGCGGCTATAACGGTTTTGGGGTTGATCCTCTGTCTGATCAAGAGGCAGAAGTCGAGCCATGGAGGAAGTTTCTCAGTCTTGCCCACTTAGCGGCATGGAGAGCAGGCGGGCGGGAACGAAACGCGAGAAGGATCGAGCACTGCACCACATTCTATAAACGAACGATGAACGCGATTATCTACCTACCCACTCATTCTGACGATATCGAATATCGACGATATACTCCTTCCATCAATACTCCACAAACCGCACACATTGCGTCGCACTGCGCCAACTTGTTACGTCGGCTTCGAGATGTGGAAACTTAATTACTGTACCATACTTTTCTTTCTTTCTACGTCTTCCATTTCTATCTCCCTCTTTTTTTTCTTTTTTCACATTTTTTCATTCTTCACCGGGCAGGCGGAATCAGGCAATACCCTCTCTCACTGCTTTATTTCCTTTGTCGCGAACCGGCTGGATATCTGAAGGGCGTTCTATACCATTTTTTCTTTCGAGAAGTCTGTAAAATGAAATCGATTTTCTTTCTTTCGAACGAGGCATCGCCCACTCGAAAGCCTTACACTTAACGTTTGAGAGCTGGGGGATGATGGATGATTCATCGGTCCATGACTTTGGCAGTTTCTAAGGCCCATCTGGCCTGGCGTGAACGGCAATGCCGGATGTATGGCGCACCGAGTGAGACGGGATGACGGGAAAGGGGCTGTAGATTGTCGGCCATTGTTATTTTTCCGCAGCTAACGTGCAACGAGCATCGGTTCTTTCCCTCTTGCTCGACCTCCGTATGGGGAATTCACCTACCGGTACCCGACCTACGATACCAGAGCTCCTCGATCCCGGCATTTTACAACACAGCAGAACAAATCCCGGCATGCCGAAGAATCTTGGTACAAGTACTCGAGATACAGTGTTCTGCTGATCCTTTTTCTCTCGAGTCAAGAGGCTCCGCAAGTGCCCCTTACCACGGCTGGCTTAATCTGGTTAGCCAGGCCGTCCTACGAGTAATTTGGTCTGGACGATCTTTGGCGAGGCGAGGCTGGGCGACAGGGATAGAACTTGGCGACTGGACAGGGGTTACCGGTACTCGAGTACGGTACTCGAGCACCGGTATACTTGTACCACAGGTCTGAGGTGTCATTGGGCGTCGCCACAGATAGCTGGATGCACTGGACAGAATCGGGGAGGCAGGGGTGTTCGGTTACCTGGTACTGTACGAGTAGAGTTGGGTTCGGCCGGTTGAGGCTGGTGTGGCTGGTTGGTGGCTGAATATGGAACTTGTACTTGTATAGTATGATACTAGTGCGGTAACAGTAACCTACCGGCACTACCTGTATTCAAAAGGCACTGTGCCGGACTTGTACAATAACCCATCCGATCGGGTATTGCATCCCGAGGACCGCCTATTACAGTATTGCCGTACCGGTATTCTAAGTTAATCACAATCCGGAGTGACTACCGTATACGATACAGTAAGTAGGAGCACTTGTACTGTACTCATACACATCCCCCCAACCGGGGCTTGCAAATTCGGGTCGCCTGTCGTATCCTCAAGTGCGAGCACGGCAGTGGAAGCCACGCCCCGGTCTCAGGGTGGTGTCCGGCTCGATCTGGCCAGTATTACCGTACATACCCGGATTTGATCGCTTTTCCATGCAAGAGTTTGAGTTACTCGTGCGTGGGTACATACCGTAGGCGAACGGGTCTGGTTGGTTAGCCGCGACTCCATCGTTGCGCCGCGGAGCGGAGCGCTGTGCTTTGGAGTACCGGAGCATACCGTGCCGGCTGGCAAATGCAGGGATGCCAAGACTGTGGTTGTGATGGATGGTTCTTTGGGATTTGGGGATCTGGGTGAGCTGAGATGAACAGGTTGTTGGTCTGTAGCACTGTACTTGTGGTACGGTATGGCCTGACACTATAGCGAGCAAACTGGAATTGTGAGAATTGAGCTGAGAGGTGGAGGCCCTTTGGAGAGTTAAGGATGGGATTGCGGAGCTCTGTGTTTATGGCACCACAGTACCTGTAGAATGCCTGGTTTTTCAGAGAGAAGTTTTTACGATCGCGGTACGGTAGCTTAAGGCTCCCGGGTCCCCCACAGTAGCTTCAAATCCTATCACCACCCGAACTTTCAGCCACAGACGCCACCGGGGTTAGGTTTCTCAGGCAAGACATGGGGCGCGGAATCAGGACCAGGCATTTACCGGCAAACGTACGAGTAGATTTCGATCTGTTTGACCAAAGCTTGTGTCACAAGCGAGAAGCTGCGAATAGCATCATATCACCACCATCTCCCTCTCCTGCACACGATACCCATGGTGATAAGTGCGGCGGTAATTCGACGTAGGGAGGGTGGAGGAAGAGACTCCCGGAGGGGATTTTTTTTTAAATCACCGTTAGAGGCGTATTTAGGAGTGCACTCCCGACTGGGACACGAACTCCAAGGGAGGAGAGAGGGCAATGCAGTGATTGAAGCAAGCAAGCAGGCGCTTGACCGGGGACGATGCATACAGAGGAGCCAATGATGGTTTAGCCACTCATGTCACTTTTCTCTCCATGGGTGACAACTCATCCCACCCACACCGATTCAACGAGAATTGGTTGGGTGGATGAAGGCGCTGCTCTTCGAATTCTGGTGAATGGAGCTGCTTTTTTGGAAAAAGGGAAAGGGTTAAAAAAAAAATTCACTAATCGAGTACGGTACAAACCCCCCCCTTTATTATTATTATTATTATTATTATTATTTATTCAATTTTTATTTATTTTTATCTTTTACTTGTACTGTACTAGTATTTGCCCTTGTGCTTACAGTGGCGGTGAGGGAGGAGGATTGGGCTGGCGGATACAGCACTGGCATCTCTCTCGTTTCGCAGCTACCGTGTGGCCTGTTACTGACAGAGCCGAGTGGTGGTGAGAAAGAGGAATAACGTGCGGAGAGAGTGGGAAAGAAAGACCAATACGGGCGGGACTTTTGCCATCGGGGATACTCTGTCCCTTCCTTCCTTCACTTCTTGATCCATCCACGGAGTATCCTCCTCCTTTTACGGCCCACCGTTGGATCTCAGTGAAGGGTGGTGAGGGCGAGACTACGGTACTTGATTGCTTGTTTCTCTCTCCCTTACCTCGTTTCTGTTTCTCCCTTTCCCCCCCCATCCCGTCCCCCACACCGTTCTTGTCCAACCCCCCTCTTTCTGAAGTGGACCTTCTCCCGGTCCACTACCGTACTCGAGTACCTAACCTTCTCGCCTGCCTTCATCTCCATCACACATCGACACCAGGCCTGCTTTCCCTGCCTGCAACAACAAGCAGCCAGTTGCTTGCTTGTTTGGTTGCCTGCTGCTAGCTGCATCGGTCAATCGATCAAACAAACTCCAAATCCCTCAGCGGGCCCCTTCTTTCTCTCTCTTCTCTCTCTCTTTTTTATTTATTTTATATTTTATTTTACCCTTTCTTTCCTCATTCCCTCCTTTACTGCCCTATTCTTCCCCCCACCAAAGTTCGAATTGCTGCGTCCCATCCCCTCCCTGCCGCTCCGGCTACGAATAACGTTAACGTTGACGAATATCCTGGGTAGTCTATTTTTCTTTTCCCTTATCCGTTGCATTTCGTGTTTCCGATATTCTGCCCCTCTTCAACGCTTCCTTTCACACCACCCATCATCTTTCCTTTTCCCGTTTGTCTGTCAGCCTGTTTGTCATCATTATTGTCATCGTCATAAACTCCACCTCTATCCCTTACAGCCTTACTAGGGAACTTCTCACCATCCCACCTCCCTACCCTCACCCACCCCTTTATTCTTTCATTTCTTCTTTTAGTTGTTGCTGCTGACAGACTCGCAACGTCACTAGGTATAGACGATAAGGGAATAATTCAGTTTATTTTTTATCGTTTGTATTTCATTTATCTTTTCTGTGTCTTCTCCCCCCCCTTTTTTTTTTGATAGGGAGGGACAGAAAGGAAGTAGGGAAAAGAAAAATAGTGCAGAAATCGAAAGAAGGAAGAAGAGGGGCCTTTTTTTTTTTTTGCTCAGGGAGTTTTAAGTCCGAGGAGACGGTTTAAACGAAACGAAGGGAAGAAGGGAAGGGTTGGAGGAGAGCGAGAGAGGAAGCGAGAAAATTGGTATTTTTTCTTTCTCCAAACTCGTGAGTACTACTGGTTGATTGATTGATCTTTGTCTCACCGTCTTTTTTTTTTTTTTTTTTTGAATAACGATTGACTTGCCTTGGTATCGCAGTACACGAAATGGAGCAACAGCAGCAACAACAGCCGCAGCAGCACCCCTATCTAGACTTTGGCTCGGGATTCCCGGCACATTCCCAGCCGCCTCCGCCGCCGCCAAATCGTCCTGAGTCACCGAGACGTGATGACCATGCAGACTCCGGGGTTGAGCATCGTTCTCAGATTGATGGGCGGCAGCAGCAGCACCAACAGGGCATTAATAATGGCAATGGAAGTGGAGGTGGAGGGTACACTGATGTGTTTGATAATCAGGCCGATCTGCTCGTAGATTATTCCGAGGATCGGGAACCGAGGAACAATGGCGGGAATGGAACGGGGAATGGGAATGAGATTGGGGGGAATAGTGGCAGCGGTGGTATCGATGGAGGTGTGGGAGGGGATGGTGGGGGAGGTGGGGGTTCGCCTTTGCAGCATTTCAATAAGCCTCCCAATACTCTCGGTCCTGCATTCGATCTTGAGCCTCAGCATCATAAAGGTGATCACCATAGTATTTCTTCATCCCCCGTAAAGCAGTACACCCAGCCGAGCCATATGAACCCGGCTCAACCGTCACCGCAACAGCAGCAACTATTGCAGACATCCCCGACTTCTCGCTTCACTCAGGTGCGTCCGGGAAAAGACCATTCGTCGCCAGAGCAGTACCACTTCCCAAAGGCTGCTTTACCCCCTCCAAATCAGTCCCAACCACAATCGCAATCATCGCCGGTGAACCCCTATTCACATCCGACTGGTGGACACAGGACGTCGTCATTCGGTAGTGCCAGCAGTAATGACCCTCGGCTGCAGCAAGAATCCTCCCCGATCCACAACTTCTCAAAGCCGGTTCCGGTTCAGAAGCAATCCCCCGTGACACACTTCTCGCAGGTGCAATCCACTCCGTCCTCGTACCATGATGATCCTCTTCCGGGATTTCGACTCCCACAGTCTACCTCTCCTGCTGCAGCCCCTAATCAGACACCGGCTTTTAATCAGCCGTACCCTCGCCCTCCGTTATCTAATGCGTCGAATTCTTCACAACCGCTGTATTCGAACCACCGGGAAGCGCAGCCTGCTCAGCATACTACCCCACCATCGAAGAGCGAACCCACTTCATCTTTCACGGCTGGCTGGCTGGATCGCACAATGGATCCTGTCCCACCCCCTCCACCAGGGTCTGGCCAACCAATGACGCAGTCGGAATCGATGCGGTCGCTGCAAGAAGGTTCGGTTGTGGAATCGCGGCAGTCTAATTATAATAGCGTGAATGCAAGCACGTCTAGCTTGGGACGTCCACCGGTGCTTGGGACTCGCCCTTCACAAGAGTATGATCGCCATCAGCTGCAGCAACAGCAGCAGCATGGGGGGCATGACGCTGGAGTTATTCAGAGACCTACTCCACCTAGTCAACCACCGTCGCAACAATCTCACGTGTCACATCAGTCACACATGTCACATCACGCTGGGAATTACAATTCCCCGTCGTATGATGATAACGCGGGCCGAGACCGAGAGAGGGAGCGAGAGCGGGAAAGAGAAAGAGAACAACCGCCTTACTCACACCACTCTCAGCAGCAGCCGGCTTCGCCACCTTATCAGGGGAGTGTGTTCAATTATCAGCAGCGCTTGCAGCGTCAGGTTCTCACTGGGTCGACGTCACCTCGCGGGAGGACTGGGTATGGCCCTCCACCTTTACCATCACAGCCAATTCAGACTGGTAAAGCCACGAGTCCGCTGAGCTTCCGGGCCGGCGAAGTATACAAGCCGCCATCGGCCAATTCCAGCGGATTGAAGATTTCATCTCCGGTTTCTAGCCATCAGACCTCATCGCCTAATCAGCAGTTTGGCTCACAGGGTGGGAGCCCACAGGAGAGGAGGGTTTCTTTCGGGCAAGGACAGATGCCCCAGAACATTAGTCCCTTGCAGAATCAAAATAGCCAAGGCGGATATAGCAATCAAACCAGTAGCCCCCATAACCAGAATCCACCGTTGAGTTATTCCAATTCTCCGCATGGTTCAAACACAAATTCCGCGCGACCTAATCGTGTTAACCCTTATTCTCCACCGCAAGCGTCTCATCACCAGCAACAACAGCAGTCACCACTTGAAGCCCTTGAAGCACCCCGTGACGCTCGTGATAACTCTCGCGATCGCAATAGAGATCGCGGATCGGAGATGCGGGACCGTGAACGAGGGTGGGATTTGGATGGAGAGCGGGAGAGGGAACGAGAGAGAGAATGGGATCGTGAGTCCCGGAAGAACACAGAACTTCCGCCGATAGATACACATGCGCGGCATCACCGCGAACCTTACCGTCCGCAGCCCCTGCTTACCCCACTTCCTAATGGCCCTGCTCCCCCGCCTGCACCATCTTGCCCTCCCCCGGATACTCCTGGTAGCGAATTTGGTAGCCCTGGTGCTCCGCCATATCTTCGATCCGGTGGGTATCGTGGGCTTCTCAACATAGGGCTTATGGGGAAAAAGCTGCGTGATGATGGTGATAGTGGGACACCAACTGGCTTTCTTAAGACCCGTGGAGGGAAGAAGGGTTCTGATGAGCCGCGCGGTTTACGAAGGAGAGTCAATAGCAGTGGCAGTAGTAACCTGGGGAAGACGGAGAGACCTGGAAGTGCGGAGGAGGATGACCCAATTCCGACCGAGTATAGACCGCAGAAGAGGATTGACGAAGACGTCGGCGAGGAGAGGGATGAGAATGAGGAAGTGAGCAACAGCGTTAGGAAGGGCCTCGGACTGAGGTTCCCGTCATCCTCCGGTACATCATCTCAGCAGCCTATCGGTAACGGAATGACGCAGCAACCCCAACAGTCGCAACAACCGCAGTTAGCGCAGAATACCCAGACCTCTCAGGGCTCGCAAAAGCCTCCTGAGAAGCCCGGTTTCGTTCGATCCCCACCTACTGGTGGTGCCATTACCCAGCAGAGGAGCCCGGCGGAGGTTGGTTTGGGTACATATCTCTACGCTAAGCCTGTTCCTCCATCTACTGGGAATAACCCTGGGACTGCGAATCCGAGGTTTCCTGGGACGAATCATGGCCATCCTGTCACTTCTCCGTTGGCTAGTGGTAGCCCCGGGAGTGCAACTTCACCGGGTTCGAGTGGTGGTATTGGAGGAAGTACCCGGGAGAGCGTCATGAGAGGTCACTGGGTGGACGTGACTGCCGCTGTGGCTAGGCCTGTTCAGCAGCAACAGCAGCAGCAACAGCAGCAACAACAGTCGCAACAACAACCGCAGCAGGAACAGAGGAAGGTTAATACAGAGGAGAGATCGTTGCAGCATGCGCCACCGCAACAAATGCCTCAGGTGCCGCAGCGTGGTGATTTCTTTGGAGGATTTGATGGCCTCCAGCAGAGGGCACAAACTGGGGGCGTTCCACCAATGCTCCAGCAGCAGTCTCCGCAACATGCCCAGCAGCAACAACAACCACCCCCGATGCCTCCGGCGCTTGTGCCCCAGCATCAGCATCAACCCCAGCAGCCGCTTGAGCATCAACAACCGCCCGATATGCAGCAACCGCAACCTGGCCCTTTGCAAGATTATGGAGATTCCGGCGTCTACAAAGCGTTCACACAGAGTTTACAGAAACCTCTTGCGACGGCGCAACCTCAAGCCCAGCGCCGTGTACAGATTAAGTCCCCGCCTGAACTCATGGATGAGCAGAATGATGATGAGGGCACCAACCCTAGCGAGTCGCCAACACCGGAGATCCCTGCCCTCGGGGGGCGCATGAAATTCCCCCCGAGGTCTAATTCGACGGAGGAGCACTTGTTCCACTCTTTCTCTGAGATTCTGCCGTCATTACCGTCTTCACAAGTTCACTCGTTGCTTAATTTTGCTTTCCACTTGAGTGAGGATGCGTTGATTGCGGACAAAGCGGAGAAGTTGAGGATTAGTGCTTCGAATACCCCTTCCGAGAGTGGTTGGCGTGCTGTCGATGACGAGGTTGGTGCCCTGCGTGAGCAGAGATTGAGAAGGTGGAAGGAGTGGGTGCAAATGGAGGGGTCCGAGAGGACAAGAGCTATTGGGTTACCATCCAAAGGGAAAGAAGAGGAACGCGAAAGGCGCGGATTGGGGTTGGGTATGGGGGAAAATCCTTTTGATACCGAGACGGATGAGGATGACGGCGAAGGTGTTGGATATGAGGGCATGCAGCCTCTGCCGCCACCACCCAGATTGCCCGAGATTGAGAAATTTGATTTGAAGTCTGCCGGGATGGATGCGTTTGGCGGGCATCGTCACCACCAACCCCAGGGCCAGCGTCGCCATAATGATCACTATCGTGAGATGTCCGAGCGCAAAGACGTTCCCCCCGATGCTCCTATGCCACCGCAGCAGACACCGTCGCCTACGCCTACTATTGACCAGGTTGCCAATGCTCCCAAGGTTGACTTGGAACTCCAGATGCCCCGTCCTGTTCCTAGTGTTCCTGCTATTCGAATTGATCCATCTGCTAGAAGACGGTTTGACGACGATGCTTCTACTGTTGCTTCAGAGGCACATAGCCGTGGCGGTCAGGAAGATGCTGTCGGCAATGCCGGGAATACTCCATTCCCTTTCACATTCCCCAAGGTTGGCAGCGGTGGAAGTTATGGACCTCAAGAAATCAGGCCGATCGACACCAAGGGGTTAATGGCCATCATCTCTGCTTTCAATCGTGGAAACTCTGCCGCTAATGGTGGGCCTAGCCCCAGCAGTGGAGATCCTCCCCCAAGCACCGCTGATATCCCACCGTTCTTACACATGGCTTACGCGGCCTTGGACACAGCGGTCAATTCCCCTTCTTTGGATACCTATCTTTCCGAGGCTCGACGTTCTTTGGAGACTATGACTTCTAACCGACTTACTGCGTTCAACAGCGAGAGCCATACCCGGCGTCATCGCAATCAAGCACACACTGCTGCGCTTTACAACACTGGCAGATTTACGTTTGCTGATATCGAACGGATGAGGGATGATTTCGAACAGGAGGAGAAGAGAAGGAAGATGGAAGTAGACAAGGAGATCTATCTTATGTTTGAGAATGAATATGTCGAGGTTGCCTACAAGGACGTCAAGGGGCAATTAGAAGTGTTGGGTGGAAAATGGTATGAAGAGGTTAAAGTGTGGCTTTTCAATGCTTCTACAGCTGCCTCTTCTGGAGGACGAAATAGCGATGACGGGAACACTGCTGTTGGCACAGGGTCTGGCGGCACCGCTTTGGAGTATCATCTTTTGCTCGAGGCTATCGATCTTCTTAACAAGTTGCATATCACGATGGAAGAGCATGAACACGTTTTACAGAGTCTCGTTTCTGATAGGAATGCTCGCTACCTTCAAGTTTCCGTGCAGCCGCTCATGACTGTCGGCGAAACGGCGAGGGCTGCTGATGCGGAGCGGAGGTTCTGGATTGACGAGCAGGAGAGACAACTCAGAGGCAAGTTGGAGGGCGTCAAGAGGGCGAAGGAGCATGCCAAGGCTGTTGAGCGAGTAGTCTCGGAGCTCGTTGGAGGCTTGAGGAATAGGTTTAAGGATGTTGTTGAGGCAATTTACGCGGTTATATTCCAATTCCGTAAGCATCTCTTTCTAATATTTGTAGTAGTCTACAAAGCTAATATTTTCAGCTCCCGGTGTCCTTCCGCAACTATTCCGCCGCTTCTTCGATAGTAACCCTGGCCCCGGCACGGTTCGCTCGCAACCGAGCTCCCAGCACCCTGGCTCAGAGTCTTCCTCACCTGCTTCTTCCTTCTATACAATCCCTAAGGAGGTTATTCAGATGATGGCGGATTCGATCCAGACGCTCGGCGAAATAGTTGGCTTAATAAAACTCGCAATGGACTTTCAGAACGCGCCGCAGATTCGTGTTTGCGAGGCTACGACTTCGCTACAAGTCGCCGAAGACCATGCTCGCAACAACGGCCTTACCGCGCCCGCGGCCTTTGCGGCAGCCTGCTCCCAAGGGCTTGCCATTCGTCTCCCGGCGGCATTGAAACGCGTCCGCGAAGAGCAAGTCGAAATCGGCGAGAAGGGTATGGGCGAAATGATGGAGGCTCTTCGGAAACTTCAAAACTTCCTCAACACTGTTTCAACTGAGGGTGGCCGGTTAAGCTTAGCCGGGGTCGGTGCGCAACCGCCACCACCCCCGCCGCCGATGGTCCAACAGCCGCAGCAGCAATGGCCTAACGATCCAGGTCTTGAGCAGCAATCACACCAGGGCAGCCTTCCCAGTGGCGACGAGTGGGGATATAGGGGTCAGGTAGGGCCAAGTGGCGGCGTCCCAAGCCTTAGCAGTATGATTGGAAGTTTTCGTGCTGTATGTCTTTTCCCCTCTTAGACCGTCACTTGATAGATGCTGATTTGTGTGGCGTAAAGAGACCAGGACAGACCAACAGCCTGTTAATTTCTCCGGGGGGTTACTCGCCTAGCGGGTATTCCGCGGGTGGGGCTTCGCTATGGAACAGTCCTTATTGACTGAATGATGAATAATGAATGTACAAGGTGCTGGTTTGATTGTGGAATAGAGAAGATGGAAATGGCGAAGGGGGGGGAAGAAGAGCGGGGAAGGAGAGGGGAAAGAAAAAAAGGGGTGGTAGTGGTGATGTTATCTAAGTTAGTTTATAATTCTAATCTGGTGATGAAATGTACTCTGTGCTCTACCCTGGCATGGTCTTTGTAGTATCATGATAGATTTTAGAGGCCTCCGAATATCGCTCCCGAGTGAGCTGCTGCGAGGCCTATGAAGTTAGCTACGACTACACCAAGCTCATCCAGCCATCCGTCGCACGGCAGCGCTAACAGTCCGCGATGACTACGGTTAAAGCAGTTGAAAGCCCGCCAACCCACCACCTATGGCAACGTCTGGTAGCTCTTCGAATTATCACCTGTGGCGTGGAATTATTTTGCCCCTCGTGGAGATCTAAGGGCTCGGAACACCCACCAGTCATATGCCCCCCCCTAAATTTAGTCCTACGAAGCGTTAGCTGCTAACTTAAGGGCGCTTCTCCTGGAACCGGGGACTTGGACAGAATAGGTTATGCATATTGGACATGGGGTTCATAATGTGACACTCCGGCCCGGTAGAAATCCTCGCTCAAGCGGGGGGGGGGGAAGAAGTGTTGCCCGATCGGCAACCGGCGTCAACGAAATGGTTATCGGGGCGTACTAGTAGTATCCGTTATACAGCAGAGTACCGCACATCGTATCAAACCCTACCACCTCCCCCTCTCCCACCACGTATGATACTCTACTGTACCCATCACTGGAGCACCGTGCCGTGCCGGGCAGCTGTAGATGGGGTAAACGCATGCTGTCCGGCGGTGCTGGTGAGAGTTTTGGTGTTGGTGTTCGTTGCTGGCTGACTGGCTGGCTGGCTGGGGCGGTGTCAGGGGCACCTGCGGTTAGGTGCTGAGAGCATCCCTCCTTATTTATTGCTATCGTAGAGGGTATATATATATCCAAGCTAGAGACCCATTGAATGTGTCGCCAAAGCTCTCCGAGAAATTGGTCGTAATCCGCCCTCGGGCCGTCTACATGTCTGACAGCCATGGGCGGGTATCTGGTCGGATGAGGGAAAGCTTGATTAGATGTTAAGGCCAGGGGTGTATCATACTTTTTTTTTTTTTTTGAATAGTGCTGTGGGTGTCGTAGGAAGCGTTTGTGTTGCCTTGACGGAGGGGGGGGGGGCTATGAATGGTGATTGACCATTTATGTGCTGTGGAAAAGTATGGGCTTGTGAATATATTATCCTCCATCGTCGACGAGATTCTTTTATGGGTTCACGTTCCTGCGCTTGGCGGGGATGTAGGTCGTTTTCCTGAAGGGGTTGTTCGTGGATGTTGGCTGAGTGGGTGATTTGGTATGATTGAGTTGTGCTTTGTGCCGGTGCTGGGCTCTCGAGCATGGTTTCTTGTATTTCTCGTGGTTAGCGTGTTGCGGATATATGATACTCTGCACCACTTGCATCTTGCTGCACGGTAGCCGGGTGGAGGTGTCTGAGTGGGGTTGAAATCTAGCGTTATCTGGTATTGTAGTATTGAAAACTCCTGGTAGGCCTCCTGTCTTGGGGAGTAGTCAATGCGGCGGAGAACCTAGTCGGGACATAGCTGCGGTACAGTACATTCCACTGCAAGCGCAGGGGCCAGCTAAAAATGGGGTGGGTTGTTTCGGACATCCCTCGGGACATGCTGCTATCGAAAAAAGAGGAATTGAGTGCTATCCTGACCGTCCGATAGCGTTGATGCCCATTCTCACAGCCCAACATTAGGATTGATTACCCGCTTGCTGGGAGCCACAAAAATTGCCAACTCTAGGAGGGTAGGGGAAGAGGGGGGAGGTAGGTAAAGGAGAAGGAAAGATTTCCAAGTAAAACACCTGAATGTGCGAAGACACTATTGTGAGAAGGATACCGCGCCGGCGATGAGCAAACGGTGATGCTCGGGGTCTTGAGTGGGGCTTTGCTAGTTTCCAGGTATATTACCCTCTTGGCTTGAAGCTGTTTAGTCGCTCATACTCACCGTGGGGGCAAAATACCGGGTCATTGTAGTTAGTAACGATTTGCCTCTGTAGGGGATAGAAATATAGCAGAAGGGGGTTAATCGCCGTGAACTTTCCCCGTGGATTATTCGTGGTAGGTCTGGGCCGAGACTGTTTTGGAGAGCGGTTTTTACGTGGGGTAGGCCTGTCCGGAGGTCCTAGACGGAGGCTATCCGTACAGGTATTATCTCATGAAATTGGGCATATCGGGGGAGGGCTGTAATCTATATTTCAGGATAAAGTGACCCCTATATTTGTGTCGGTTCATGCAATATCTGGAAGTGAAAATGTCGGGGGGGTGCTATTTGCGCTTGAATTCGTGGCTATTGACACTAGTATCCTCGGGCACTTTTGTGAATTAGCAGGTAAATCCTAGTGTGATACTGAATAGAAAAGGCATAGGAAGATCCTGTTAAGTCATGTCGGGAAATCTCAGCTCCTGTCAATGTCAACATGCCATTTGTTGCGTGCTTTGGTGCTCGGTCTTGTGGTACCGAATAGCTGCCCAATTTGGAGGGTTGGGTTTAAGAAATTTAGATGAGTTTGATCTGGGCCTTTGGGATCATTGGCTACGGGTGGGCAACCCTAAACCTGGCCGCATCAGGCCGCAGCTCACGACACTTTCCCTTCTCCCTCGCGGTGTTCTGTGCCATATTCGTACCATAGCTGCGGAATATTGTCTGTATCATGCTTTGTCTTAGTCACTTTCAACCTGGTTTCCCCCCATCGGCCTGCACCTCCGGCGCGTATGGTAGGGTACCCCATGTCTTTTTTTTTTTCATCTTGACGCGATGTGTCCACCTGGTGGTTTCTGGGATAATCAGGACGTGAGTTGCCCACTGGAGGAGCGAGTGGGTTACGACCATTTTCGTGGAGTCGGGCTGCCTGCGGAGACATCAGTTTTACATACAGTACATAACCGGGTCACTCGCTCTTCCGAGGCCGGATGCTTAAGGAATCACCTGCTGTCTTGTTCCCCGGTATCGGCTGCTTTGCACCACACGTACCGAAAAAAGGGGAAAAAATGAAAAGGAGGTGGGGCGTTGCTGTGAAGTGGTACGGTATGTGCATGTCACTAATCCCGGTAGTAGCCTACCGGGGATCCCGTTAGGATGGTATGGGTTCAGCTTCCGGCGGGGTACAGTACTGATGGAGGGGTTGGCCCGGGGAGTTGCCCGGGCGAGCTGGTGGTTGTTTTTGTGAAATGGGGGGGGGGGGGGTGTTCGAGTATACTGTTGGATTGAGCCTGAGGGTAGGCGGTGGATTATATATACAGAGGTTGCTAACTGGATTGGGCTATGGTAAGTGCGGTCTCCGGGAGAAGTGAGTTTCCGTCGTGGACATTAATACGGATGGGCACGACCAGTGACACTTCTCCTGGACACAGATATTTAAGGAGCATGGTTTGCCAATTTGGTAAGCCTTTTATGCAACCATCAGTTGTGTTTTCCTATGTGTAACTTTACCAGGAAAACCTCTTTCATTCCGCTAAAATAGGTACCTGCCGGTTTACAAGACGGTGCTCTGTACTGAACACGAGTGAGAAGCTGTTGTCCAGTCTCCTGGTGATAATCCCGGGCTTTTGACTGCAAGACAGATGAAGGCACAGCACGGTACAAGGGACACGAAGTCTATATCATTGGCTGTTGTGATATAGATAATCTAACCGTAACACTCAATTATTAAGATCATGCCTATCATACCTGAATTCAATAGCAGGTATAATACTCGCATAAATAAGTTAGTCAAGAGCCTGATCTCAACCCAAGATTGCAGAATCACTTTTTAAATGCCCAGCTCCCAGTTGATCCCTACTTTCGCATCAGTAGGGCAAGTATAACCTCTACCGTAGTGGTACTTTGGACAGAATTTCCTAAACCACTCCTGTATAAACCCCCCACAGACACCCCACTTGGTATTTCAACAAGTAGTCCCTACGCATCTTGGGTAATTGTCTGATACAGGTGTCATATTCACGCGTCGCTGGTGATTGAATTCTTGAGATTTGGGAATTTTCGTACCCACGGCACTGGTGCTGCAGGGGAAAGTTATCGTACCCAACATCATAAGCGCAAGGCTGGTGCCTAAAATAGTTGGCGCAATGGCATGCAGCGGGCCGGGCTGCGCTGCTCCGGGCCTTCCGTTCAGTGTGCCGGTATTCTTGGGCTATAGGGTAGTAAGGTAAGTCTAAAAAATTAATAGCATGATATGGTCTGGGACTCTTCCGAATATCCCCTCAAATGGCCACAGGTTATTAAAAAATAGTTCCCTACCTTCCCACAGGATGCGCGGCTTGTTGCCAAGCTGAAGTTCGCGGTGGGACTCAAGGTGCTATTGGAATTTTCCTATGCGCTGCTGGTATCGAGAAGGCAGAAGATATATAGGGGTTCAGAAAGCTACCGTATATTTTCGCAACTTTCGATAAGGAGGCTCGGACGGTCCCGGTGGAAGCGGCACACCTCTCTTGCCCTCCTCCGGTTCCTTCCTCGGTGGGCATTGCCTGGGTGGTGAAAGATGGTGATGAAATCCGTGTATGAGGAAAAAAAACCAACTTGTGAAATCCACCATCTATCCCCCACCGCCCACCAATCCAGCTAGAGGTTTAGTCAAGCATGTTAACAGAATTTCGAATGCCGGTTTAGCTAGATTTCAACATACGGCACCGTACCTAGCCAGCCAATCTCTTAAATTACCATATTATGAGGAAAAAGATAATTCTTCTTCTTTGGGGGGGGGGGGGGGGGCGCTGATAGAGAGAAATAGTTGGATTTCACGGGATTTTACGGTACTGTACTTTGTAGCACCTCTGTATCTACCGGAGTTTTTTTTTTTTTTAGGATGGAGTAAGGACTTGACGGAACACCATGGCAAGACTGCCACGTCGAAGTGAAAGTTCGTATCATAAGCCGTGGTTGGCCGATCGGATAGTCTGCATGGGTGATTTCTGCTTGTTTGGATCGCCGACTGAGCGTGGACCACGAATATAACATTGTAGCTAGCAGGCGCTCAGAAGTGGGGGCTTCTGGAGCGCTAGGTGGAATAAAGGTTTGGCATGGCATCTATGATACGATTTAATTAACGATGCTGTGCTGGAGTACCGTACCATGGCTGCAGTGAAAGAGTGGTAAGTTAATCAGCTTGCAAATCAGGTTGGTAATGTGGTTGTGGGGCTTCCAGGCAGTCACTCAGTTTTACCACAGGTGGAAGGGAAATGCCCGACTTCTCCACTCTAGAATATTGGCAGAGTGCAGTACAGTACTTGTATAGTGCTTCCACGGGGTGCTAATTAGCTAGCTCAATTGTTTTCCCTTCAGAGGCGGGTGGGTATTTTTTTTATGTTATGAAGGGTTGGCCAGGAGAGGGAATTTTCGGAAATGCCAAAGTTGCGAATTGCTTTTACACCCGTTCAAGTGGAAGGGCAAACTATAAGTGCTAGTACAGTACACGGCACAATTGCCTAAACCCTTGTGCGAATACGGCTTGGGAATTTGTATGGGGCCGCATACATACCAAAAGGTATGATATACTACAGTACTGTATGGTACTCTGGATGCCGTAGAATACCTCACTCTACTTGACCCTCAAGTGCTGGTAGAGTTCAATTTAAGTTGGGTTGGAGATTTATCTATGGATACAATATCGAGTGTTTCACGGTACAGGTACTCCAAATGAGGCGACATTCGCCGTCCCAGCCACTCTTCCACACTCGCGGCACCGGAACTTTTTTCTCTCCCGTGGTATTGTCCCCGGACAGTCACGTGTCCAAATATCTTGCCACATGGTATTGGTATCATTCCTTCCATTTTTGTCCCGAAATCTCTTCCAGGGTTTTAGCGAATTCACACGTAAAAGGTAGGTTTTGACCCTTGTGAAGGGAGGGTGGTCCGGAATCCGTTTTGTTTTCCGTACACCGTTGGGGGAGTACAGCTTCCGTTGCACTGCGCGGTCCTCTGATCCTTGAACGACTGGAAGGGCGGCAGGCACCTGCCGGGGGCCGGGCCAGGCAGCGCGAGCCCCCCGCAGCCAGGGTGCAGTGGCGTACTGGTAAAATTACATCCCTGGGATTCGGCATTTCCCTAGGTTGGAGGTGCTCTCTATGAGGACTTGAGATCGGTGGTGCGCCCCCCTGAGTATGCCGATGGGACAGGCAAGGGGAGCTGGTGCCGGTGTTTGAGAATTAGGATCGACGGATGGATAAAGGAAGGGGGTAGTGCGGTGCGGCGCTATCCGTATATATGTTTACTCAGGGCCCCACGTTTCTTCTTTATCTGCTTTATAATATCAATGGAACATTCGGTCTCCCCGTTTACTTGTACCCATTGCATGGGGAGAAGAAACTCAGTAATCGGCAAGTGATATTTCCGAATGGTGGAATTGAGAGATTTGGAAGAGGTTTTTGGAGTTTGATCCGGTGAGTTTCATTCAAGTAGTGAGGATGTGGGGATTGAGGATGGTGGGAGGGAGGGTTTGGAGGAGAAGCAAGGGGAACAGGAGGGGGGTCGAGCATTGATTGGTCCAGATATCGTGGACTGGGACGGGCCGGAGGATCCTGAAAATCCCATAAACTGGTCAAGGTGGACGAAGGTTGTTAGCGTGGTGATAGTTAGCTCCATCACTTTCGTCACGTATACTCCCCCTCCGCCCCCATATGATATTACTCCGCCGGTTCATGCTAAACAGTTTCTGTCATGTATGCAAGACAGTCCGCTTTCATCCTCAATGCTCGCCCCGGGCGTACCGCAACTGCTGCACGATTTCCACAGCGCAAACCTCCAGCTCGGCTCCTTCGTGGTGAGTATCTACGTCCTCGGCTTCGCCTTCGGTCCGCTAGTCCTGGCCCCCGCCAGCGAACTCTGGGGTCGGCGAATTGTTTACAACATCAGCAACCTCGGGTTCTTCCTGTGCACCATTAGCTGTGCCGAGGCGAGAAGTCTGGGAATGCTCGCCGCCTTCAGATTTCTAGCTGGATCCTTTGGTGCAGCACCGTTGACAATCGGAGGGGGGTCTGTCGCGGACGTATTTGCCGTTCGGGAGCGTGGCGTCGCCATGGCAATTCTCATCTTGGGCCCATTGTTGGGACCGGTTATCGAGCCCGTGGGAAGCGGGTTTTTGACAGAGGTTGCCGGATGGAGGTCTGTATTCTGGCTTATTGCTGCGGTAGTATGATATGCCCCCTCCCTCAGTCGGCTATGGCACTAAGCCTACTTGGTATTAACGTCCTGGCGTAGAGCGGTGTGATAACCCTCTCAACTTTCAAATTCCTAGACGAAACCTACGCCCCCAGAATCCTAGAGAGAAAAGCAGCCCGCCTACGTAAGTCCACCGGGAACCTCAGACTCCGCTCCAAGTTGGCCTCGGAGCTCCCTCAACGAGAAGTCTTCACCCGTGCGTTAGTCCGACCTTTAAAAATGCTCATCCTCTCCCCAATTGTGCTAGCGCTCTCGGTGTTCGTAGCGATTGTATACAGATACCTCTACCTCCTTCTGACAACCTTCCCTATCGTCTTCCAAGAAACTTACGGCTTCACGGCCGGCACCAACGGTCTTACCTACATCGGGTTCGGGGTAGGTGGCCTTGCAAGCCTGTTGGCCTGCGGTACCCTCTCCGACAGGATACTCAACTCCCGCAGCGCAGTCTCGGGAGAGGCAAAACCGGGTGTACCGCCTCGTGCCCGTGGTCTATGCCTCCCTGTGCACCCCTATCGGACTGTTCTGGTATGGCTGGTCTGCACATGAGAAGACGCACTACCTTGTCCCTATTGCCGGAACCATGTTTGCCGGGGCGGGTATTATTGGCTCATTCATTCCGGCTCTCAGCTACATGGTTGACGCTTTCACTGTGTACGCTGCTAGCGCGCTTGCTGCGAATACTGTACTTGGGAGTATCCTAGGAGCCGTGTTGCCCTTAGCTGGTCCGAGGATGTATAGTGCGTTAGGATTGGGTTGGGGGAATTCGCTGCTGGCGTTTGTCGCTGTCGCGATGGTGCCCATTCCGGTTTTGCTTGAGAGATGTGGTGAGCGTATTCGGAAAAGGTGGGAGGTGCAACTTTAGACGCGTGTATTGGGGCTGGTGGGAGGATGAAGCATTGTAATTTGTTTTGGCCCTATTTTAGGAGTGTTCTTGGCATAGAAGTTATTTTCGGCTTCGTATCATAATTGTTTCGTATTGGGCGGTCAATTTTTAGCTCCTGTATTATATCATACCGTATGTTTTCTTTCCTCGTTTTTTTTTTGCCATACGGCTAGAGATGAATTGCGAGTGATATCCTGTGCCTCACTCGGGGTAGATTTACCGACTTTACCGACGTGTCCTTTTGAGGCCAGTCGGGCCGGTAGGGTGGCTCCGCAGTGTTGAGCTTCGGGAATTGGTGTGTATTGTCCCTTGGACGGATGACCTTGTCCGTGGACGGCTTTTTGGGGATCCTGATTGGAAGAGAAAGAGAGACACAGCCACCCAATATTAATGAGAACTTGCCAATAATTTCCCGTCGCCAAGGTGCAAGTATGAGAGAAAACACGGACCGGGTGACAAGATTGACCATGTCATCCGTCCAGGGGATGCTTTGGGCGATTTATGTTTGGAACGTTAGGTTATGGCTGGGGCAATCTGTGGCGTCCTGAGCCTTGGGAAAATCTTGAGCCTGGTGTTGCACCCCACCCGACACTGCCCACCTTCTTGGCCGGCGTGATATCGGGGCAGGGAGGGGTTGTCGCTATGCGAAGGATAGTGTTTGGGCATATTCCCTGCATTCTTTTTTGAGGACACATTTTTCGCTAGGGTCTCCTCGTTAAAAAGTGAGGGGTGATTTCGCAGTCATATTTGCCGGAGCAGCAGCGGTGGACGTGGTGGACCAGTTATGGGGTGCCGTGGGGACTACCAAGAGCAAGCGTGGCGAATTAGAGGAATTATGAGACGAGTAGCTCATATTCAGACTCAAGAGGAGCGAGGCGGGGAGGGATGGGATACCCGTGCGTGGAGGAGCTGTTTGGCTTTTCTCGTGCCTTTCCCTTCCTCCTCCTTTGCTTTTCCGTTGTCTCCAGCCTATTCTGCCGGCGTGCTACAGGTACGAGTGCGGCCGATAGATATATTAGTCACGTGCATTATCTTTGGACACCACAACCAGAAGGCCAACCAAATTTTTATCTTATCAGACCCACGTGACTAATATACCTATCGGCCGCACTCGTACTGCCGAAGTTCAACTTATCAGAGTTGTTGTAGCACGCCGATACTCGTACCGTACAATGTGGAATTCGGGAGCGTCCGCGTCTGGCATGCGGGCAGTTCTGCCATGTGACATATGAGGCTTCTTCCCTATTGACCATGCTCTGACAACTTATCGGAGTCCGGGCACGAATCAGATTCCGGAATCAGGAGTGTGACAGCACCACCCTTTGGCTTACGGCCAACCATGTTTTCCTGATCTCCACGGGAATGAGAGTGGCGATATGGGCGGGGTTCGAGAAACCAATACCGTCATATTACTTGCTCGGTTGAAGTTGTAGGAGGTTGAAGTTTGTGCTGGACTGAGTGCTCCACCCGATCTTAGAAGTTGCGGGTCTCAAGAGTGCAGAATCGCTTTGTTTGGGCACCGTAGGCTGAGATGGGTGTTGGCCTGGTTGGTTCCGGGGGTTGGTCTGCTTGGGAATCTTGGCTTCTTTCTATGATGAGGGGGGTCTTTGTTCCCACAACAGCCACGAGGATTGCAGAATAACGCTGCCATATTGTCGGTACAGTTCTGCTTCGTCTCCGTCACAGACACCATGGGCTCCAAGCTTATTTTAACACGAACGTAATTATAACCCTGACCTCATCCCTGTTGATCCCCACAGTTCCGAGCATCAACGATAACCAACACTAATCACATCTTAATATGATACCAGAACCTCCGCAACCCAGAGCGACATTACCGGTAGCTATAGTGGCAATTCAGGTGATGGGAATAATTACGGGGATTGTGTTAACATTACCACAAACCACGGAGGAGTGCACTACTATCGGGCTCTGAGCGAAAATAACCCCACTTGTAGTGGTATGCATTGACTGGCCCCCCGCCACTTGGTCAGTGACCCGATGAGTTAACCTGGGTATAGAAGGTATCTCAACGGGGCAATGCTGGATGGTCCCATACAGTCGGAATGGACGTTTCGTGGGCCGGGAGAGTATTCTTGAGTCGCTAGAGGAACAAGTTGGCTGTAGTGGGCTCAACCGCATTGCCCTCCATGGATTAGGAGGTTCCGGGTAAGACGAATCCGAGGCACCACGATCAACCTCCCATGCTCAAATATCCGTTGTATTAGAAAAACCCAAATCGCGCTTGAATATGCTTATCGACGCAAAGACACTCGCCACATATTCTGGGTACACGCGAGTAGTTTCCCAAAGTTCCGAGAAGACTATGCGCGAATCTCCAGGGAGGCGAAGATCTCCGTCCCAAGCCCCACTCCTAGGGAAAATCAAGAGGAAATACTCCGAGACGTGAAACTCTGGTTCGAGGGTGATGCTAGCGGGGATTGGATCCTACTCCTGGATAACGCAGACAACGTGGTCGACTTCGAAAGCAACAATAGTGAGATTTCAAAGTTCTTACCACAAGGTGCGAAAGGAACCATCATACTCACGACTAGGTCGCTGTGTGTGGCGGAGCGTGAAGGCTGCGACGTCATCGAGGTCGGCAAGGTCAGTGATGTTGAAGGGCAAGAGCTGTTTTTGCGACAATTAAGGATCTCCGACAATCCCCAGACGGGGGACAAGCAGGCCGTTGCGAACCTCGTTGGCTTCCTCGGTCATCTACCCTTGGCGATAACCGGCGCTGCGGCATTCATGTTGGAGACCAGTACTTCCCCTTCAGACTACTGGTCTCTCATACAAGAGAGCGATAAACAAGCGAAGCGACTCCTCTTATCCGAATTCCGAGTCCTGGCTCGAGAGGCAGACATGACTGAGAGTATACTGAGCACCTTTTTCATCACCTTTGACAGGATAATTTTGCAGACGCCTATGGCCGCGAACATCCTCCGATTGATTGCCTTTCTCGATAGGCAGAATATACCAGAGGACCTGATTGCGCAGTCCGGATTAGAGGGCGTGAGTGATTCGTTGGATTTCCGGAGGGCGATGGGTACGCTTTTGGGATTCTCACTGGTGACCAGGGAGCGGGACGGGGAAGTTTACGAGCTTCATCGTTTGGTGCAATTGTCCATGCATGTTTATCTATCGCCTAGGGAGACGAGTGAGTGGAAGGGAAGGGCTGTGGAAGTGGTCTCAAAATTGTATCCGGAATATAGTCATGGGGTTCGACATGTGTGTGCTGCGTATCTGCCGCATGCACTTACTGTGATGGCGGACTCTGCAGGTCCGATGGTTGACGAGCTCCATTGCCGGGTGGCATCACATCTCGAGGACACGGGTTATTACAACGATGCGGAGATACATATCCGGCAGTGCATTGCTGGTGAGAGAAATAACCACCAGGTTCCAGAGGGAGCCTCAGGTTTGATCAAAGTATACATTTACCTTCGACAGATCCCGAGTCTGCTAGTGGGGCTGTTTTCTAACGCCCTTCGCTATATATCGTTCCTACTCTTCCGGGGGCACGGCCAGTACTATCGCCGATATTGGATGAGGCGCAGGCTTTTGGCTATGATATTGGAATCTCAGGGAAGATACGCCGAGGCTGAGTCTCTGGGTCGGGAGGTGCTGAGAGGGACTGAGGGAACCCTCGGACCGGTGCACCCAGACACCAGGGCTAGCATCGATAGCCTCGCCGCAATCCTTAACAAACTCGGAAATTATTCTGAAGCTGAGAGGTTGTTTCGGCGTGCACTTGAAACCAAACCCGGGACGGTGGGGCCGGGGGACCTAGTGGGGTCCCAAAATCTCGGTTCGGTGCTATGCGAACTGGGGAGGTACGGAGAAGCAGAGGAGATGCTCCGGCATGTAATGGAAAGTGAAGAGGAGGCGTTGGGATCCGAGCACCCGAATACCCTGGCAGCTGCACATAATCTAGCCTGGGCGTTGACAAGCCTAGGCCGGTTCGAGGAAGCGGAGAATCTCTACCGCAAAGTGCAAGATGGCCAACAGAGATCGCTCCGACCAGAACACCCACACACTTTAACGTCCACCAATAATCTTGCTACCGTCCTGGATAAGCAGGGAAAGTGCAGTGAGGCGGAGGAACAGTACCGGCGGGCGTTGGAGGGCTTCGAGAATGCACTTGGGCCGGAACACCCAACCACTCTCAGTACTGTCAAAAACCTTGCTTCTGTTCTCACTGGATTGGGCCAATATCAGGAAGCAATGAAGATGCTCTGGCGTGTACTAGAAAGCAACCGCAAGTCATTGGGCTCTGAGCATCCGGATACAATTAGAACACTACACAACCTAGGATGGGTCCTCTACAAGCAAGGATGGTATGACCAAGCAGAACTAGCTCTCCGAAGTGTATTAGGACTCCGCGTGGAACTCCTTGGGCTAGAGCACCCAGATACACTCGACACTCTCAGCTATCTCGCGTTAGCCCTTACAGAGCTTGAAAATTATGGGGAGGCCAAAGAAATGTCCAAATGCGCGTTAATACTTCGAGAGAAAACACTCGGACCAGAGCACCCCCACACCCTAGCCAGCGTTAACAACTTAGCTAACCTACACTCCCACCTCGGCAACCACCAAGAGGCGAAGTCGCTCAACATCCAAGCTTTTTTAGCCCGGGAAACCCACCTAGGACCGCATCATCCCGACACTCTGATCAGTATGGGAAACCTCGCTAGATGCTATTTTGATCTCGGCGAGCACGCAACCGCGGAATACCTACAGCGCCAGGCCCTCTCTATAAACACGGAACTGCTTGGCGAGGAGCACCCGGATACGTTGACGTCCATGAACAATCTTGGGGCAACGCTACACAAGCTCAAAAGACCTTCCTCCGCCGAGGGCCTGTATCGGAAGACGCTTTCAGCCAGGGAGGAATTGCTCGGGCCGGAGCACCCGGATACCTTGGTTACACTGCAGAATCTAGCGTATGTGGTGGGTGGAGTGGGGAGGCATGGCGATTCAGTGGCGATGCTAGCTAGGGCGCTGGGTGGGTGCGAGAGGAGTTTCGGGGCGGACCATAATGTTACCAGGGGGTGTAGGAGGAAGTTGGGAATTGCATTGGAGAAGCTGTTTGCGAAGGGTAGTGGGGAGGGAACAGTGGAGGGAAAGGGTAAGGGTAAGGAGGAAGCAAAGACAGAAGAGGGTGGGGGGGGAGAGCGCGGGTGTGATGGCGGTTGACAGAGAAGTGGGGGAATGAAGGTTATGGGAAGTGATATTCACGACCAACTCTCCAAATGGACCTAGAAAGTTCAGTGAATAGCTATACTATACGAATCGGAGAAATCAAGCAAGTAGGAAGAAAATACACAGACCCTGACCCCCCGGCCTGTTCTTGAAGAAGCTTTACCAACTGGGTGCCGGCCAATCTTCCATAGCTCGCCTGAGAAACACACCCGTGGGCCACTACCCTAGTAGCCGAGCGAAGAACAAGTGAAAGCCCCCACCAATATAACCCTTCCCAGAACACAGTATTCCGTAACGGCTACAGCTTAATTCTTCCCGTTCCCAAAGTTGGCATACCGACCGAGAGCCACCCAAACCACAAGTCATAAACAACCACTCGTTTAAGATGTAGTATGTTTGAAATAAGAACCGGAAAACCAGCCGGAGCTGCTTACCTGGGGGTTCGGATAGGTAAATCGAAAAAGAAAAGAAAAAATAGCAGAAGTAAGAAAGAAAAAGATGGGTGAAAGGAAATATTATCTGAGGAAGATTGACGATTCATGGATCGCCAAAAAATGAGCAGCTATGGTAGATAAAGACTAACTTTAAGAAGTAGAAGAAGGAGAGAGGGTTGCTGGGGGATGGAAGCGAGTGCTTTACCTGCTGGTATAATAGATTGGCGATACCATCGGAAGTTGACAGGGGACGAGACAAGAGAGCTGTAACAACTATAGAGGTAGGCCCCCGAGTGCCCTTCCCGGATATTCCGTTGAGAATCCCCCCGCCTTCTTTTCTTCCTCTTCTATTCCAAAGCCTGTGATTATTATCATGTTAAGCGGGGACTGCGGAATCCCTCCCCGCGATGCCGGTATTCCAGATTCATCCCCTTGAAGCGTAGCCGGAGAAGGGGGAGCATCAGAGAAGGGCTTTGGTAATATCCGGTGATGAGCCGGTGCACTGATATGGTTCGGTGGGAGTGAGGGAAGCAACTCAGCGCCACAGAAGGAATATGAACTTGAATGCTGGGCACGGAACTACTGACGGTGGAAGGCGAGGGGAGTGAAGATGATTCGGAAGCTTTTCCCACTCTTGATGGCCCTCCTTGGACCAGCTATCTTTTCCATTTAGATATGGTTTAAGGGGAGCGCCGTGGTGAGTATCATACAGTATACATCGGAAATGAGCAAGGCGGGTGTGTTCTCCACGCTGTCACACTCGACACCTTATGAAAAAAAGGTCTGGTGGATTTCCGGAGGTTTTGTGGTATGATGGTGGTAGTTTGGTGCTTGGTTCGTATATTTACTTAGTCATGGTACACTACCTGTTTGGACATATAATATCACCAACCGCTGCAGGCTTACCGGTACCGGTAGCCGTAGCCATCAGATGCGTTACACGATGCACCCCGATTCTCAGAGTGTTAGCGCCATATCACGATTGACCGGGGTACTGGACGGATATTCGGCCTGGAATTGAAAATTCTTCATGCAATTGGGCGTGCGTATAAAATTCCGCCGTGAAAATTGGGATAGTATAGAAGTGAAGTATGCTCGGGAGATGTCGTTGCCTTTCCCAGCTCGGCGTACCGTACCACGGTATGATACGTTACGGTACCCGTACTGTAGAAAGTGCTCCGCTGTAAAGTGACTAAGCAAAAGTGATGGTGAGTTAGCCTGTTTCCCACCAAAACATATGGCAAAACCTCACTCTTCATTTGCAGGCGGTTCATCAAAAGCAAGTGCTCCTTTTCCCAAATTTCGGTTTTGAAGTCACCTTATCTATACAATACCTTGGGATTAATTTTTGAAGCCTGCCCGGCGCCAACTGCAGGCGCTGCAAGCTTGTAAAGCAAAGTTGTGCCATCGCTTACTTACCGGTAAGGGTTGTCTGTGTCAGTTTGCTGTTGAGGTGGTTGCCATGGCAACACATCACGACAAGGTTGCAAGAGAGGTCATGCGTTCTGGACTGATGCAGAACTAAGGGCTCAGCTAGAACTCGGAACTTTGTTACTCCTTTCAAGTACTGGGCTAGGATCACATCAGGATTTTAACAGGATTTCGAGGCGTCCCGAATTTAATGCACCTGTCATGAGAACAGATACTGTTGCACAAGCGACAGGGAACGCACGAGAGGGATAACACGACCCCGCTTTCCCCCAGTTTCAATCTCCCGAGATATTCGGTCTACAACCTCACACCGCCAACCTTCACCGCCCTTCTCAGCTACTTCATAACGTTACGCACCAAACGACATGAACCTGCGAACTATCCGTCCTAACGCTATCAGCATAGGCCGCAGACGCAGTTCGGCGTGGTGAATTGCTACGGTGATACATGTTGGAGGAAACCCCCCAGACAACACACCGGCTACCGCCTCTGGAACCTCGCGTCGGCACCCGGATATGCGTGCAAATCGGCTAGATGGTTTGGGGGAATGGGTTTTGCAAAGCGATAGGCTTGTTAACTGGCGTGACGGCGGGGGTGATCTGACAGAGCCATCCTATTTTGCTCGGGGGCTCTTGGAGCCGGGAAAGCATGTCTTGGGTGTGATTTTGTATATACAGAGCATGATGGATCGATGATTGACTGTGGTATTAGTTCTCTCGTGATCGATTGATTATGCGATCAGGGTGTGGGGCAGAGGGCCGCCGTCGCTTGCTTCTATCATACTATAATACGACTTCGAGGATCAAAAGACCCAAACGCTGGATAACACATTGGGTGCCCTTGTCAAGCAACTTATATGGGGTTAGAAGCGGTTCTTGGGGGAATCGACAATGCATTCCAGAAAGCAAAGGGTCAGGTTGGTGGTCAAGGCCCCCAGGTTATTGAGCTCCTTCCACTCCTACAGGTTGCAATTACTCCACTGGAGCGGGTTTTTATCGGAATTGATGCCTTGGGTGAATGCCCCGAGAAGCATCTACCTGGACCTCTCCGCTCACTGTCATTACTGGGCGACCCCCCATACATCCGGAGGTTGAGAAACATTTTCCCGGGAGCGGACAGCTCCTCCAGATAATGCCGGCAATGGAGGACCCTATGAATTACCGGCGGATGATGTTGGATAAGGACTCGGAACCTGAAGCAATCAGCCTTGATCTTACGGCTGAAATCGTGAAACCATTTTCGGAAACCATTTCAGATGTGTATGTACTGGCAATTTTTCACCCGGGTAATCGCTAAATTGCGTATAGGTTTCTACATGTTTCGCTAAACGTCACGATGGACTCGGTTTGGGTGCTACCCATCTTGTGGCTTTGGACAGAATAGAGGCCCAAGGCAGGGCCAAGCTGGCCCCTCCCCTTTGACTTATTACCGTCGACAAGGTAGAACCCACCACCCGCTTAGCACACTCCGCGCCCCAGGGATATCTCGATAGCCGCTCTGAGACCTTCCGGAACCCCTACGCAATGGTGGCCGAGGTTTGTCTGACGTATTCTGGCGATGATTGTGTCAATAAACTTCCACCTATTCTAGACTCCGCTCTATCCACAACCCCATTACCCCAATCCGCTTTCACATATTGGGGATCCCATGCAAGAGACGAAACTACTCGTGGTGTGAAACTGCCTCCACTTCAGCTTTTACCGAATTTTGATTGTCATATATCGGCTAAGCTCCTTCTCCGCCCACGCGGTTATGACCACTCCCACCACGATGGCACTCTTTCCTAGGCTTTCGAAGACGACCTTTCGGCTATATCACATCACAAAGTAAAAAGCGCCCTTATATCTCCTACAGTTCAGAAAAGTCACTTGTATGGAGGCGCGGGATGCTCTGCTCACGACTCAGCTTGCCTAGCTCGGTTTCGCCCAATACTCGGCCACTATTTCACTTACACCCCGGCCACTAGTAACGCCTACACATGCCGCCTGGGTGCTCCGTGTACGGTATACAATACCTTTTGGATACCAAACATTTTCCAGCTTCACTCCCGAGTTCTTGTTCACTAATTGTATATTCTCTTTATGGTTTTCTTACTTTTGTACAACCATCCAAGGCTAGATTTTTCCGGCCTTTTCTCTTCTTCCCGGCTGGGTTTCTTTGTTCCGTTTTCATTCAACGCATCCGCTACTAGATTTTCCTATCATAATATGACATTATCGATGTTTGATATCTCAACACAATGGGCAACTTGTTCCCGTTAAAATCCTTAGGCTTTAGTAATTCAAAATGTAGCAGTGCCATTGAGTACAGGCACTACACACTTCCAAAAGAACGGTTATAACGCGATGAAACGAGCAAATGGGTCAGAGCATCATCAGGGAGCTCACGACCGTACCCGCCTCCTACGGGTACCTCTCCAGTTGAGAAATTCAGGCCCAACATTTCTCTTACCATCATCTTAAGCCTTGATTTACGAGTGCGGTAAGTCCAAGGTTCGTACTGATTCCAAGGCCCCGGCGGCCTCTCGGAGGCCAACCAATAAAACTAGACGGACGGGACCATACCTATAATTTCATCGTCCGCTCGGACTCGAGACTTTGGAGGACAGCCCAGCAACGAGAGGCGGCGGAACCCCGGCTGGGCCGCAGGGGACGGTAAGACCATCAGTTTCCACAGAGGGTACGTGTAATGGGCGGCTGCAGTGGCGACCAGGGAACTATCGGGGACATTAGGGCACTATCAAGAATGATAAATTAATAGTTGCTGAGCGTGGGATAAGCTGCCCGTTGAGCTAGAGACAAGTGTCCGCTTCTTTTTTTTTTTTTTTTTTTTTTTTTTGGAGCTTTCCGCTTCCTGTCTTACATGCCCTCTGCTGTTTTTTTTCCCTCCTGGTTGGTTTTTAGGTAGCGTGTTCACACCGAATCAGGAACCATG